TCTCTCTCTCTCTCTCGGTTTCCCCCCCTCCTCCCCAGCCCTCCCTTCCCACGCCCCAGTGCGCTGTGGGATAGTGGCACTATAAAGTATATCCTCTCTCGGAGAAAGATAAGAAGCCCGAGACAGGAGGGGGATGAAGATGGCGGACGCCAAGCAAAAGAGGAATGAGCAGTTAAAGCGATGGCTGGGCTCGGAAACGGACCTGGAGCCTCCTATTCTGAAAAAGAAGAAGACGAAGGTGAAGTTCGACGATGGCGCCGTGTTTCTGGCCGCCTGCTCAAGCGGCGATACCGAGGAGGTGCTGCGAATGCTTGACCGGGGCGCTGACATCAACTACGCCAATGTAGACGGTCTCACCGCCCTCCACCAGGTTTGTGCTCAGCCCCCTTTGCTGTGTGTGTTAACAGCAAAAGCCCCCGGGGGCATTGCCCAGCGTCGTTGCGGACACAAATATCGGTTTTCGCTGCTTGTTAAGCTGCTTGCCCAGGAACACCTGTCAAATGGAAGCCATTCTCATCCCCGTTGTTTACCTATTCGCACACCCGTCCCTTTTTTTTTTTTTTTTTTCGACGCAGGGCAACGTTAGAGAGATGAAAACACACTTCTCCTTCCTGAGCTTTTGGTTATATACACTTTAAAACCAAACAAATAATGCGAACTGTGCATGCAGATTTTAGAGTGTAATCCACGATAAGCGAGAAAAAGTTAAAAAATTAAAACTACCCCCCCTCACCTCGGCAAACTAGCCTGAATCTATATCCCCTCAGTCAGTGGGTGCAGTCTAATTGCTGCATTTCAGCCTCTAACGTTGGGTTGCTTTATGTTTATAAACGACATTAAAGCCGAATAACTAGCAGCGTCTCTTTATGGTTGAGTGATGTTGATGCATACAGCTTATTTCGGGTTTAATCGGGTCTTTACATGCATGTTGTCATTGATTGAGACGCGAACCCCCCCCAGCAGTGGCTACATAACCTGGGCTAGCAGTAAAAGTGGTGTTGTTGATAAAAACCGGCTGCGACTACTCTCTGGAGGAAGATGAAAACGTCACCCGGTTGCAAAAGCTAACGTCGTCCCTCTGCGAGGCCTTAACTCGCACGCTGCGTTGACGCGCCGTGCACGTTGTCGACAGCAGCGTTTTTCGGTGTTGTTGTAGCTTCAAATGTCACGAAGTTGTAAACAAGAGTAGTTTTAAAAAAAAAAAAAGCCTGTTAGCGGAATGTGTGCTAATGCTACGTTAGCAGGCTCGGCTAGCTGTCGTTAGCTGTTTTGGGGGGTTGATTCATTCGTTAGCTGGGGTTGAGAAAACGACTTTTTGTCTCAAAATGCCACGTTTGTTTGACTTTTATGTGTTTTTTTT